TTATATGATTATATTATTTACTATTTATTGATTTACCACTAATATATGTGTAATATATTATTGATATGTCTTTGATATACCACTGATATAATACTGATATACAATTGATTTACTTCTAATATATCTATGATATCTACTAATATAACTTTTAATATGGTTTACCACTGATATACGTATGATATAACTATGATTTCTACTGATACAGGTTCTTATATGATTATATAATTTACCATTGATTTAACATGCTGACTTATATATCTGTAATATATACTTGATATGTCTTTAATTTACCACTGATATAACTGTGGTATCTACTAATATAACTTCTCATATGATTATATGATTTACCACTAATATATCTTTATGCATCTATGATATATGCTTAATATGTCTCTAATTTACCATTGATATAACCATGAGATCTACTGATATCTAACATTGATGCATCTATGATCTACTAATATCTACTGATGTATATCATATATCAATTACAAATATATTTAATATGTCACTGATATATATCGAATGTACATTAGAGATACATCAGATATATATCAAATAAGATATACATAGGTATATCATTACAAATATATTTAGTATATTATAAATTAGAGGTACATCAGATGTATATTAGATGTATAATATGTACATTTGATGTATATCAGAGATACATCAGATGTAGATCGAAAGTATATCAGAGATATATCGGACGTATATCAGATATACATCCATCGGGCGTATATCTGATATCCGTCCGGGTATATATAAGATATCATAAGGGTAAAGCTGGAATAATAAAAATTCGAAAATTCAAATATTTTACCATATTTGCAAAATATAAAAGTGGTTGACATTTTTGTAAACATGTATAAAAGTTTAGCTACCCAATACAATTTCCCTTATTCTTTTATATTTATGTTCAAGGCCCTCTCTAATATGATTAATTAATTTATTTCTAATACTCAAATTCAAATATATGCTATTAGATCATACAAAGCAAGGTAGAAATATATACCATAGTTTATGAATTTAATGTAGATTGATGACTAGATAAATATTTACACATACTCATGATACCAAATTTTTGTGAATAATATCGACATTAATGTCCAATGAAATTCTACATCAACCTGATGGATTAATAAAAATTTCTATAGCATAGAAAAAATGATAAAAGTATTTAAAAATGTGTTTATATTAATACTAATAATTTTTAGTTTTTTTAAAAATTGTGAAACCTTCGTTATGAATTTTTATTTTTACAATATTTATAAAAATATCTATCGATATTTTATTGTTATTTTCTTTCACATTTTCATAAAATTGAGATATGTACATCTTCGTAAAATTGAGACATTTACATTTTCATGAACATTCATATTTAATAAATTTAGGAAAAAAATGAAATAGGCCCAAATAATCAAATTTAGCAAATCGAAACATGACCTTCTGTTTTGGAGCATGATAGAATGCGTCCTTCTGTCTACTCGCTAGACGGCAAAACGCGGATATCTTTATTTTGGCTACTTCCAAATCCAACCCACCGACGAAAAAAATCACCTTTTTAAAAATAATAATAATCCCACAAAACTCTGGAATTAATTTAAGAAATTGGGCTACAAACAAATCCTTTTGATCCCTTTTCCCACTTGATTTGATTCAACAATTTCAGATTTCAGATTTCAGATCTTGTTGCTCTCCTATTTTCGTCGAAGCTACTTACAAAATCAAGCTGAATCTGCTTCACTCGAGGAGCTCGAGCCATGGCGGTTGCCGTCCGGGGAAGCCGAACAGGGGCAGGGTTCGGCGGGTTCAATCTACGGAGCTTCTTCTCCTACCGGATCTTCATTTCGGCTCTGTTTTCGCTTCTCTTCATTGCCACTCTTTCAGTCATCTTCACCACGAATCCCTCGACGCCGCACCACGATTCTGTAATTCTCTCCTCTCTTTTCCCTCATTTCTTCTCTCATTTGCTTGTTTTCTCTTCTTAATCGAGTGGAAATTGGCTTAGCAATGTCTGGAACTGGATTTAGTAGAACCCCACTTCGTAACTTTGGTTTTGGATGAGACCCAATTAGTAATGTCTCGATTGAACAGATTTGTGTAGTGAGAAATGGAATCTGTGTGGGTTTTTTTTTTTTTTTTTTTGGAAATGGATTTAAGTGATTTTTAGGATGTTTTGGTGCAGGCCCTTCCTACTACAGGAAATGCTTATATGAGACGAACGTATCTGACTCTAAATTCTGATCCATTGAAAACTCGTTTGGATTTGATATATAAGCAAGCGAGTGATCACATCACCCTTGTTAATGCTTATGCTGCGTATGCAAGGAAGCTCAAGCTTGAGATGTCTAAGCAATTGAAGATGTTTGATGATTTGGCGCAAAATTTCTCGGATATTCAGATGAAGCCGCTTTACCGTGGAAGGTTGCTTGATTCGACCGGTCCGCTGGATGAGGATGTGATGAGGCAATTTGAGAAGGAGGTGAAGGATAGGGTGAAGACTGCTAGGATGATGATAGCAGAGTCGAAGGAGAATTACGATAATCAGTTGAAAATTCAGAAGTTGAAAGACACAATTTTCGCGGTTAATGAGTTGCTTGTCAAAGCAAAGAAGAATGGGGCATTTGCAAGCTCAATTGCTGCAAGGTCAATACCAAAAAGCTTGCATTGCTTGTCGATGAGGCTTGTGGGGGAGAAGATTTCGAACCCGGAGAAGTATACTGATGATGAACCTGAGGCTGAGTTTGAGGATCCAAGTCTGTACCATTATGCAATTTTCTCTGATAATATCATTGCGGTATCCGTTGTCGTGAGATCTGTGGTGAACAATGCTGAAGAACCATGGAAACATGTTTTCCATATTGTTACAGATAGGATGAATCTTGCAGCAATGAAGGTCTGGTTTAAGATGAGGCCAGTGGAAAGAGGAGCTCGTATTGAAATAAAGGCTGTGGGAGATTTTACCTTCTTGAACTCATCATATGTGCCATTATTAAGGCAACAAGAGTGGGTGAACTCACAAAAGCCTTCCTCTGAAAATCGAGCTGACAATGCAATGAAATTTAAGAGCCCTAAGGATGCGTCCGTGCTCAATCACCTTCGGTTTTATTTGCCTGAAATGTTCCCTAAGTTGCAGAAAATCGTATTTCTGGAAGATGATGTGGTTGTTCAAAAAGACATAACAGGATTGTGGAAGATAGATTTGGATGGGAGGGTAAATGGTGCAGTGGAGACTTGCTTCGGGGCCTTCCATCGATTCACTCATTATTTAAATTTCTCGAACCCTCTAATTAAGGAGAAGTTTAATCCCAAGTCATGTGCCTGGTCTTTTGGGATTAATATATTTGATCTTGATGCTTGGAGAAGTGAGAAATGTACGGAAGAGTACAATTATTGGCAGAACTTGGTTAGTATTTTGCTTTGCACGAATAATTTGAGATTTCACTTGTTTATCTTATCCCTTTTGATTGCCTTATTCTTTATCATGTTTCTGAAAGTGATATTAGCTTTTAATTAGTTTAGCAGTAGTAACTTACTAAACCATCCCTTCAATTATTTGATTAGAACGAGGACGGATCTTTATGGAGTAGGGGAACTCTTCCACCTGGTCTGATCACCTTCTACTCAAAAACGAAGTCGCTGGACAGATCATGGCATGTTCTTGGTCTTGGTTACAATCCCAGTATTAGCATGGACGCTATCAACAATGCTGCAGTCATTCATTACAATGGCAACATGAAACCTTGGCTTGACATTGCGATGAACCAGTATAAAAGTTTTTGGACTAAATATTTGGACAGTGATATGGAATTTGTGCAGGTGTGCAATTTTGGACTTTAGATGAGCGTGTAGCCGCTCTGTCACCAATCAGGTACAAGAAAAAAATTAGTTTCTTGTAGTTTTTATTTCACGAGTCAATGATATTGCTTAAAGTTTTGAGTTTCACATCAGCTGTTATGTTTGGAGCAAAGCTTTGTAATATAGCCCAATCTTTCATATCTTAAATTACATGAATGTTACTGGTAATTCAATTTAATGCTGAATAGGCTCCAGTGTTTCAAGCAAGGATTCTATCACCAGTGAAATTGGATGATTTAGAAACATGATTTCTTTTTCCCTTTAACTTCTGCATCTTTTCTGCCTGTGACTATGACTAACAATTGAGACAAAAGATGATACATGACATAGCCGTTCTTACGCGTTTATAATATGCTGATCTTTTCTACTGGTATAACTTGCTGTAGAGACAAAAGACGGTATGTGATATTGAAGTTCTTACATAGTATTTATAATTCAAGGTATCAAAACTTGGTGTTATTGATCTTGTGAGATTGCTGAATTATGTTTTTGAAATGGTACTGAGTTCATTTCTGCATTATGCATGCATGATCTACAATTTGCATTTTCTTTAAGCTGAAATGAGCAGAGTATTTGGTTTATAAATTTGAAACATTGTTGGTTGATTTAAGGTTTTTACAGCATGAGTTTGTTATATTTAGGTTTGGAGCATTTGACTTGTAAAAACTTACACAAGAAAACATGTTCTAACAACTCTACAAAATTTTTTAGACCATATGGAACCATAAGTTTTTACCCTCAATTAGAATCAGCTGTAAGACTTATCGTACCTTAATGCTCGTTCACGAGTCTTTATACCCTGTTGGTCGGACTTAAGGCAACATTCTCTGACATCGATCAACCTTACTTAACTCGTAAATCTGAATGGAGCCTTGAATGTTCACTCACACAAGCCACACACGAGTGCTCTCTGTAGCTATTGTTGGCTTAACCCTTGTTTATGCTTGCCAGTGGTATGCTTACTTGAACGTATCTTGGTCGTGCAAGCCATCGCACATCGGTACGTCCATAGTGTTGTAAACAACCTAAGGCTGTCCCTCTTGTTTCTTCCCTAGGCTAAGAACCCCACTTTTACCATGTATATTTTCTGAGCCAAATGCATCATGAATGCATTATTGCGTGTTTGCTTACTGGAAAGAGCTCGAGGCTGTCGTGCTTTTAGCTAACCGTAACCGAAGACACCCAATGTAGTTTTGCTTCTATGCTACACCAACAAATGCTTCAATATTAGTCGTCATGCTTTTAGGTTCTTTAAACATTGGTTGGTCTTAGACTCTTACTTTTTTGCCTTCAAGGAGGCATTATATAGCCATGTTGAGTGAAAACTGTCTGGCAGGAAAAGGAGTTGCAAAAACAAAAAGAGAAACGGAAAAGGATATTGAACAAAACAATACGAGCTCGTTTGGTAATGTTTTTGTTTCTTCGTTTTTAATAAAGAAAAATGAATTGCATGGTCCCAACATCCATGAATTCAAGTATGATATAATAAATTTTTTTTTATTTATGTTTTGGAACAAATTAGAAATGGGAATAAGAAAGAAAAAACTTGTTTGGGTTGTTTTTAAAATTTTTATACAATTTTGAAAATGTTCCAAAAAAAGAGAAACAAAAAACATAATTAATTGCAAAATATTTAGATTTCTTAAGAAAATTGAAAATGAAAAACATAAAATAGGAACGTTGGACTTTACGAGGGTTCATCTTCAAAAGATCGAGAGATAAAAGGATAATACTAAAATCCTCACCTAGTTGAGGCTCCTATTATTATTTGCTTTCTAATTTCTCTTACGAAAAAATAGAAAATGATTTTGTAACAATTTCTTGCTTCATTTAAAAATTTTAAATTAAAAAGTAAAAATTTTATATGATAAATTGTCTTTAAATTAAAAAGTAAAAATTTTATATGATAAATAAGACAATAATGATAAAGTGGAACAAGAACCGTTTGGTAATATATTCGTTTCCAAATAGGAATAGCCGGATAATTAATTATGTTTCTCGTTTCTTATTTTTTAGTTGAAATAAAACTTTGTATGTATAATATAACAAAGATATAACATGCATTAAAACAAATAATATGCAATTATCAAATATTCATGATATCTAATACAATTCTTTAAAAAAATAATTATCAAAGGTTTATGGTATCTAATACAATTCTTTAAAAGCAATTATCAAAAGGTCTATAGTATCTAATACGATTCAAGTCCAAAGAAAAGCATTATCAAAAGGTTTATAATATCTAATACGATTCAAGTCCATACTAAAAGAAAATTTGTCGCAAAGCAAAACAATAACAGTATTTATCATTCAAACGTTACCAAAAATTTGATTCGCGATATTGTTTCCTACTTAAAGCTATTTGCCTTAAATGATATTGATTCACACCTAGCTTCATTAGACTACCTTGTAAATTGTCAGACAAATTTTGTAAATCTTGATTGAAGAAATCATCTAAATGATATATAAAAACTGATAAATTTGAAGATGTTGGTAAAAAAAAAAGTAAATTAATAATATAACAAAGAATACATGAACTTAACCCAATAAGATATAAGACAGATATTTGATTACCTACATATTTTATATTTTTTTTGTTACAAAAGAATTATCCGTGTCCACTGCATTTGTAATTACCCGTTGATTAGGAAAATGTGTCAATTTAGTTAAAAATCTTATATCCAATTAAAAGATATGCTAATCACGATTATGTGACCAATTATATATTATATTTATAATTTTTTTAAAAAATTATTAGTCGAACTTTATCTTCATTCAATTCTAATATAATTGTGAATAATACAACATGGTGTTGGTATATATTTTTTGTGTCGATTGAGTAAGGAGATATTTGTTGAAGGACAAGATATAATCGAGAAGACCCACGTTTTTTAATTCAATAATAATTACCTTTTCATATTTTTCTTTAAAAATGCATGTGTTTCACGTTATTCAATCAAGCCTATGAACAAAACCCATAAAAGAGAGATGATTTTCTTTTTCTAATGAAAATATTAAAGATATACTGATTAGTTTCCTTATTTGGTAAAAATAAATTAAAAACCTACCAAAAATTGATGGAGACTAATAGAAATTTAAATGGAAAAAAGTATTAAAAAGTGGAAAAATAAAAGTAAGCGAGCAGAAAAAAAAAGATACATTTTCAATTTCCATTCCAAAGAGGAGGGAACGAAAGAGAATTGTTTACCATAAACAGAAAATGAAAACGTTATCTATATATTTTGAAAAAAATTGTAAACAGAAAAAGAAAACAAAAAATTTGATTTCGTTGTTTTAAAATTTGTATACAATTTTGAAAACAATTCTAAATAAGATGAGAAATGAGAGATAGAAATCATTATCAAATACTTATATTTTTTAAAAATTGAAAATGATAAAATGAGAAACAAAAACGTTATCAAACGACCTTTTACTTGTCTCGTCTCAAGTAATCTAAAGTTGCTACCATTGGGAGACTAGAAAAATAAATTCTATCAACTTAGCTTTGGTTACTAACGAAGTCTTCAATGAAATTAATTACTCTAATGAACAAATTTGGAGTCTGAAAACCTTTTGACATGGTTGAATGGTATTATGAATTAATAAAAATAAATGGAAACTATTATAATAAATAGTTTATTTTGATTCCCGTACTTTTCAAAACATTCATTTTAGTCTCTATGCTCAACTTTGTTCATTTTAATTCATATATTTTTCAAAACGTTCGTTCTGGTTCCTGTAATTTAAAAAAAAATGATATTTTGGTAATTTAATTTTCATTATTATCTCCCCTATTTCAATCAAAATTTTAACATGATATTTCATTCACTAATTTTATTTTATTTATTTACTTTTTAAATATAGTTATAAATTTATCTTAAAGGTATGTGTTAACAATAAAAAATAGGAACAAAAGTTGAAAATACATAAATTATTTTTGTTTTTAAAATTTGGCTAAGAATCCGAATTGAATTGTAAATATAGTTCTACCGAAAAATATTAGATCGTCCTAAATTATAACAACTTTGTTGGAGATATATGTTAATTACCGAGTTATACTCACTCTCACATTTGACATTTGAAGTCTCTCTAACCTGTGAAGAGATATATATATATATGTATTTTTTTTTTTCTCGTTTAAATTTCAATATTTTTCCTCCACCTACCGAAACCCATTCTTCGAATTCGAAGTACAAAAGGTGCGTTACCAAGCGCTTAAAATCTTCATTCTCCATCCTCCAAGAACTGAGATCTAGAAAACATTGCGGGAATTTCCCAGTTCCTCAAAATCTTCCTCCGTTTTCACCATCAGATACAAAATTTTGAGGTATTGATCTTTAATCTCTCTGGGGTTTGCAAGGAATTTCGGCTGTTTTCATCCTTCTCTGAAACAACTGTTGCCATTGCTCTGGGTGTTCTTCAAAATTCATGTCCTGCTTTTTTATTATTCTCATTATTTGTTCTTCTTGGTCTCTGTGTTTGATCTGCTGAAGTAATTGCGATCTTCTGTTAGTAATTTTTTGGTTTTTGAGATATCCTATGGTTTTCCAGTTTGGGTTTTGTGCGATCCTTCAAACTCATTGGACTCAATGCCTTAACTTCTAGATCAGTACTGTATATCAAGCTGCTCAAGCTTTTTTGAGAATGTATTAAAATGTAGACTCTAAGTTTTTGCTCTAACACATTTTTAGTCTCACTATATACTGTCTGCTTTGGGCTTAACCGTCACGGATTTGCTTTTGATTTCACCCAAAAGCCTCGGACTAATGGAGAGATTATTGTCCTCGTCTATATAGCATAGATCATTCCTTTGCCTAATTCCTTTGCCTAACCAGGACTTTGTTTGCACACTTTATAAATCCAACAATTAATTCATATCTGGTAGATAATTCGACCACATTTGATTTTAGAATGTAGGAGGTCTGTCAACTTCATTCAATAGGGGAGATTTCTTTTTTAGATCTAAAGTTTTACTCGAGGCCTGAATTGTTGTATATAGATTTTTAAGTATAAAGACTAAATTGTTACAAAACTATAACGACCAAAACATTTTAAGAATTGAAATACCAAGGACTAATAGTATATACTTTGAACTATTTTAGGTGTCCTTAAGTCCAAGTGATGATTTGAAATGGTACGAGAGCATCTAGTCGTCTTACCTTCAAATTCTTGCTATTTTATCTTCTCATTTGTTTTCATATATTAAACGATTAAATTAATCATGGCCATAGTTTGAACTTTTGTGCCTAATGATCGTTGAACGTGTTTGTTTCCCTTTTCTCATCATTTTTGGTACTAGTCAATGCTTTCTTTTGAATGATTTATTTGTTTGCAATAGTATGATCTTGATCAATTAATGCGTTCCTATTGTTTCCTGATTGTCTCGTATGTTAATGTGATTATATACATTTGAATTTGTTCATCTGCTTGTTTGATGATCCAAACAGTAGGCTCATTGTCATTGTTTCATATGTCTTAGTTAAGTAATTATGATATATGGTCGTTTGGCATGGTGAAAACTAAAGCAAGGGTAGTCGGGCTTGTCTGATGTGATGGTGCATTGAATTATTTTGGAAAACTTGACAGTTGCTGATTAGTTTGCATTTCATATAAGCCTCCTTAAAGCCTATTCTCTATGGTTTGTGGTTTCTTTCGTTATTTGAATTAAATAATTGTTCTTACTAACAAGTTTACTTGAAACAGGCAAGAGCATGGCGCCTGGTCCTACACGAATAGGTCTTGCTGGCTTGGCTGTTATGGGCCAAAATCTGGCTCTCAATATTGCAGAAAAAGGCTTCCCGATTTCTGTATATAATCGAACGACATCCAAGGTTGACGAGACTGTTGAACGAGCAAAAGCTGAAGGAAATCTCCCTGTATACGGCTTCCATGATCCCAAATCTTTTATCAATTCAATCCAAAAGCCTCGCGTTGTCATCATGCTCGTTAAGGCAGGGGCACCGGTTGATCAGACCATAAATACTCTCTCTGCATACATGGAGAAAGGTGATTGTATAATTGATGGTGGTAATGAGTGGTATGAGAACACTGAGAGGAGAGAGAAGGAAATGACCGAATTGAGTCTTCTTTACCTCGGGATGGGAGTCTCGGGTGGCGAAGAGGGTGCCCGAAACGGCCCTTCATTGATGCCTGGAGGATCCTTTGATGCTTACAAGCACATCGAAGACATTCTTCTCAAGGTGGCAGCTCAAGTTCCTGATAGCGGCCCCTGTGTGACATATATTGGAAAGGGAGGATCGGGAAATTTTGTTAAGATGGTTCATAACGGAATTGAATACGGTGATATGCAGCTGATCTCCGAGGCCTATGATGTACTGAAGTCAGCCGGAAAGTTGTCAAACGATGAACTTCGTGCAGTTTTCTCGGAATGGAACAAGGGGGAACTTCAAAGCTTCTTGATTGAAATCACTGCAGATATTTTTGGGATTAAGGATGACAAGCGAGAGGGGCATTTGGTTGATAAGGTTTTGGACAAGACAGGCATGAAGGGCACTGGTAAGTGGACTGTTCAGCAAGCTGCTGAGCTCTCTGTTGCAGCTCCTACCATTGCTTCTTCTCTTGATGCAAGATTTCTGAGTGGATTGAAAGAGGAGAGGGTGGAAGCGTCTAGAATCTTTCGCTCAAGTAAGTTCGATGATAACTTGACTGAGCACAAGGTAAACAAGGAGAAGTTGATCAATGATGTGAGGCAAGCCCTTTTTGCATCGAAAATATGCAGCTATGCTCAGGGAATGAATCTGATCCGTGCTAAGAGTATCGAGAAAGGATGGGGATTGAAACTGGGGGAGCTCGCTCGGATTTGGAAAGGTGGTTGCATCATCCGAGCCATTTTCTTGGACCGGATCAAGAAGGCGTATGATAGGAATCCTGATCTTGCCAACCTTCTCGTGGACCCAGAGTTCGCTAAGGAGATCATCGAGCGACAATCCGCTTGGCGAAGAGTAGTTAGCCTAGCGATCAACTCCGGTATCAGCACTCCTGGCATGTCTTCAAGTCTTGCTTACTTTGACACTTACAGAAGGGAAAGATTGCCTGCTAATCTGGTCCAAGCGCAACGAGACTACTTCGGTGCTCACACATACGAAAGGATCGACGTGGAGGGATCATTCCACACCGAATGGTTCAAGATCGCCAAACAGTCGAAGATTTAAATCTTGCTCACCGTCATTTTGTGTACTTCAATTTAATCGAAACTGCTCTGTTATTCGTCGTGGTTAATAATATATCTGTTCCGGGACTGTTGATGAGCAGAGATTTTACATTAAAACGCACCACGACTGAATGAATGCCTTGTGCTTTTTTATATACTGAAATTTGGGAATCGCTTCTTCAATAATCTTATACTGAAAGCACTGTATCTTCTTGCTGTTTCATCTCATCTGGATTTTAGTTTCATCAATAGGCCATGGTCCAAAAGATGGTCTGAACCCGGTTCGAACAAATCAATATTTAATGGCATTAGTCTGGTTCTTTTTTTAGCACAACATGCATTAGCCTGGTTTAATCTAGTTATTTATTGGATTGAATATATGAATATTCTATTTTGAGACTACTTGATAAATCAAAGATGAAAATAAGATTTTCATTAGCTTATGAAATTCGAAAATGGTACACAAGAATTCTTAAACATTTTTACATACATGTATTAAAATTGAATTGGGTGACGTGGTTTCCGTTTGCCACGTCAATCAAATCTTCTTTTGTAGAGATATTTTGGATTTTTTTTTTTTTGGAGTTCGACATTTTGGTTTTAACAGAATAGTTTTGTGCTGTCTTGTTTAATTTCTTTCCATTTTTAGGTTTTAAAATTTAAATGAATTGTCTGTTTCCAATCAAATTTCAATTTATAAAGTAATAATATTGATCCACACAGATCAAAACAAAATATTCAATGTAATACTTATTTTGCACATATATATAAGTATATGTAATACTTTTATGTGTGTGTATATATATATATATTTAGACAAAGATACTTTAATAAATTAACTTGCATATACCACTTTGGACTAAGATACCATCATTATTTGTCCGGGTTTTTTTCAATCCATAGGAGATTTTTCTTCCCATCTATCTCTTTTCATATTCAACAAAAAGAAAAAAAAAGGTTAGAGGTTTGAATCTCAACCTGGACATGTATTGTGTTGAACTAAAAAAACACTGTCCAACTAAAAAAACCACACACAAATATAATATAATATATATATATATTTTTTTCTTTTGTTTGTTTGGGAAGAAACCATAATTTTATATTATAAATAGGACAGTAACCAAGAATATACATGACCGCCATTATTTTCTTCCCTACACGAAATCCATCATTTTCTCATTGAAATGGTTTCTTGAAACTGTATTTTTAAAATAAGTTTTTCTAAAGCTAATATTTTAAAAGAAAATCCCCTTCATTAATATCATAATTTGTAATCACATTCAAGATGTTATATATGTATCTTAATCACAAATTTTATCTTCACATAACCGTATATAGTTTTTATAATATAAATCAAATAATCAAGGTATTTAAATCGTAAGTTTGAATCTCACCCTAATCCTATATGATAAACGTTAAGGAGATGCTTGTGATATGAGTTATGTTTATAGCGGTTTCGACTTCTTAAGCACAATCCATATTTGAATTGAGGATTTGGCAGACATAGGTTTGGCTGTACAAAAAACTATGAGTTTGAACAGTGATCCACTGTTATTTTAAGCTTCTTACAATTTTTCTGAATTTCATTCTAGTCTTCTTACACTTTCATTTAAATCTCCCGACTTAAATGTTGATTCCACATCTCGAAAAATTTCACATCATGAATATACTATTAGAAATACAATGCATAAACTTCACATTCAATGTATATTTTTGAAAAAAGAAAGGTTAAAAACATACATTTTAGCCTTTAATGTTCGTGAATTTTTTCAATTCAGTCCTTACTTTAAAAAGTGTCATTTTAGTCCCTTATGTTTTAACATTTTCTAGTTTAATCTTGTGATTGGTAAATATATTAATTAAAATTGGCTCATGATAAACTTACGTGAAATAATATTTAACTAATTTGTGGAAATTGAGAGGAGTAATAAAACCATGCAGGGAAGAAAACTCAAAATTAAATTTCTATCAATTTCTTAGAAATTTGGAGTAGGACTAAAAAACTTTTCTCCTTTAGACCCTTTTCCTCCTCCAAATTGCTGTCAATAAATTCACACAAAATTGTGTCATATACAAGTTAAAATATCAAAATGTTACGGATTAAATTGAAAAATTGACTTCCAATGAAAGAAAATGAAAGTACATTGAATGAGAGAAGACCTATTAAGGCCTAAAAGAGTAACTTTTTTTTTTCTTTTCTCAAGTGAAGCCAAGCCACCATAAAAAAGGTACTCAAGAGGGCATCAATGGCATCACAAAAAAGAATCTTCCTTTCCATCTAACAAGGGTATTTCAGTAATCTCACACGCCTTGAAAGTCTAAAACCCAAACTCATCTATAAAATCCCACATCCCATTTGTTCCATTTCCACACCCAAAAATATGAGGCACCTCGCCGCTGCATTTGCACCACCACCACTCGCGGCCGCCGCCGCCCCCAAGCTCCACCCATGGAAATCCCCTATCCCTTACCTCTTCGG